TGCTATCCTTTTGTAAACTCTCCCTCATTATATCCCACCTTCCTTGTTTCTGATTCCATCATTACAGAGTGCTTGCAATGTCCTAACAAACTGTCCCCCTCAGACATCCTCACAGTTGAATATGCCATTTCCATCTGCTTCCTTCTTCTCCAGTTGAATCATTTCTACTCATATGCCATAGTAATTTCATAAGGTCATGTTCTCCAAAATTCTCTTCTGTCCTTTCCAGGTAGCTCTAAGCCCTTAGTTTTGTTGTTGTTGTTGTTGTTGTTGTTTGGTACCAGAGTTTGAACCCAGGAGTGCTTGACCACTGTGCTACATCCTTACCCCTTCCTTTCTAAAAATGATTTTGAGGGAGAGTCTCACCAAGTTGCTTAGAGCCTTGCCAAGTTACTGAGGCTGGCCTTCAACTCATGCTTCTCCTGCCTCAGCCTCCTGAACCACTGAGATTACAGATGTGTACCACTATACCTGGCTAGCCCTTCCTCTCTTGAGCTGCCACAATATTGTTTACTTGACTCCTCTGCACTTACTATGCTATAATCATGCTGTTATCACTTGTCACTCTCTAACACTCACTTAACTCTAATCTCTTGAAGACAAAAGTTTTCTCCATGATCTTGTTCCCTCTAAGGTAGCTCCTGTCACACAGAAGAAATCTGATGAATGATTGTTCAAATACATACATGTTTAATTGTAGTTTTATGATTTAGATATGAGGTATCCCTGGAATCGTATGTGAGACAAAGAAATAATTTTCATAAGTGATATCATTAGGTTGTGAGAACTATAACCTAATCAGAGGATTAATCCATTTGAAGGATTAATAATTTTCCAGGACTACTAACTATAGGCAGATATGGCTGGAAGATCACTGGGAGCATGCCTTTGATACTTACATTTTGTTACTGACTACTGGTGTGCTCCCTTGCCCCCCTCTCTTTCTCTGCTTCCTGGCTATCATGAATTGAGTAGTTTTCTTCCTATACACCCTCCTGCCATGATGTTTCTGCCTCATCTGGGTCCCTGAGCTATGGAGTCAGTCCATTATAGACTGAACCTTAAAAAACATGAGCCAAAATAACCTTTTCTTCCTTTAAGGTGTTCTTATTAGATATTTTGGTCCCAGCACTGCAAAACTAACATATAGTAGAAATTGAATACAAACACATCTCAGTCTAGCTTGCTTATATTATTTTTGAAAGTTATAGAAGCAATTATCTCCACCAAAAAATTATTATTAAATCTATTTATTCAATGGCAAGTATTTAAAAATCTACCTAATTGAATTTGACTTTGGCAGATTACTTAACTCATTGGCGTTTCCTTGTCTAAACAACTGATATAATAAGCTCTTCATGTCTTCATTCCTTAAATATTTATTAAGGCACTTCCATGAGCCAGGCAATATTTTAGCCAATTGTTGATAGACCTGAATAGTGTAAAGGTTATTCTGCTCGTATGTTGCTCTGCTCCAGTGGAAGATATAGCCAAGAAAAGACATTCAGTGTGATAGGAGTTCTCATGGGGAGTATTATGGGAGTTACTGTGATACCATGGGATGTATTAGGGGCCACCAGTTGCAGAACTGGGAACAGTAATCAGGGAAGCCATTCTTCATGACATTAAAGCCAAATGGTATGTATGAGTGTGTAAGTGTAAATGTGTGCATGTGTGCAATTGGTGGCTAGGAGGAACAGGGATAGAATAAGAGCTTTCTGGGTGAACAAAATAGCACTTTTAGCAATTCAAAAAAAGCTTCATTATTCAATTTAAGATAATTAAGTGGTACATGTACACTCAAATGTTATTGGAGAAGTACAGGGACTAGATAAGTTATCAGGCTTCTTAAAATATTTGGATGTTATTTTGAGAAGCTAGTAAAGGAGAAACTGATAAGAATTGCATTTTTAAAAAGTGCAGTGTAGAGGTTAGATTACTGAGATGCAGAATTGAAATGGAGAATCCAATTAGAAGGTTGTTAATCATAATACACAAGAGATGATGCTGATTTTGACCTAAGAAATGGTAGTGTGTAGAGCAATAAGCAAATAAAAAAGGTACAGAACTGACAACCAACAGAGCTTGATTGTAGAGTCCCAGTACGGAAGAAATCAGAGAAAATGTTTATTTTTCTGTCTCAGCCTGAGTGATCAGGAGAGCTAGTCATAGGAGGACACAGGCATGATGGGGTTAGGGTCCTTTTGTACTCAAGAACTGTTTTGAAGATTAATTGAAATAATTTATGGAACAGGAACTATCACAAGGCCTAATGCATTTTTGCTCATTTATGTAGTCTTTTCCATTCCCTTCTTCTCTTTTTCATCATTGTTCCAATCACTTAGCAGCAAAACTGGCAATAGAATCCCAGACTTTTTCTTACCATCCTAGAGTTCTCTGTTAATGAACTACTGATCTATAAACAAAGATGAAACATACTTTTAAAGTGAATATTCACAACTTATCCCTGAATCACTTACAAGCTGACAGCTATCCAACTTATTTTTAGTTTATATTTAAAATGAATCATATGTTCCAAAGTGACTGACAGAAACATAGCTTTGTTTCTGAAGCCAATTCCTTTCCATCATTTTTGGACATCATTCAGAGCTATAACAGACTTTCATGGTGTTTAAAAGCATTCATCCACGACAACAACAAATGCTAATTATCATAAAAAATAAATAGCTCCTGTTAACATCAGTTTAAGAATTTCTCCTACTCTTGCACTATATTTCATCTATCATCCCATCTGTTTTCAGGGAGGGAACAAAGACTGGAAGAAAGTATAATTATCATGTATCAAAGTGGACAACACAATGAAAGAGAAATGAATATAAATGGGAGGGATAGCATACATAACAAATAAATCTGGAAAAGGAAAAAAGAAAATATAAATAAAATGTTGCATGTGTGTCCTACAGTAAGTAATTTATACATAAGTCCTTAACAGAGTCAATACGGGTTATCTTGGTGGGTGGGGGGCTACCCATTTCAGTTCACAGTGCTAGCTATAAACAGATCTCTTCCAAAGTCAACAAATAATAATCACGTTTTCCTGTGAAATTTACAATTTCCTTTTTTAATTCCATCATCCTTGAGAGCTTTAAATATGAAGAAGACAAACATTCAATTTTCATATATTTCTGAACATATTTTAAAGAGACTCTTCTACCTGCCTTAAAATCAGTTGTATCACATAAAATAATCATGAATACCCAGGTTCTCAAAAGTGCTTTCAATTAAAAGAAACAAATTGTCAGTCACAAATTAAATTTTCTCATTAAGAATAATTATAAAATCATAAATAATGATATGTCTTTAAATATGAATTAGAAACTCAACAAAGGCAAGGACTTTGCTTCTTTTACTGCATGTAATCATATCTGTAACTGTCCTTGGCCTGTAGCAGGTACTCAATCAATATTTGTTGAATTAAATGTTGCATGAAATAGAACATAAATAAATATTTTCCCCAGAGAATTTTTAAGCCATACTTATCCTACAAATAATTCTGTAATGACTCTAAATTGGCATTAATATTTAAATAATTGAAGACCTTTGAAATCTCCAAGAATCTACATCACCTTTAAAGCAATGAAAGGGACAAAGCTTCTTTAAAAAGCAATTTACATTCTTGTAATAAATTTAATCTGAGGTCAGGATTCCAATAAACATACGCAGCTTTAATTAAATATATATATATATATATTTATGTTTATTAGAAACACACATGCACATACACACACATTTATATTTCTGTTCAAACTTGTCTATTTCCCAATAAAAACTTTTAAAAAATATCTTCATTTCTCAAGTCCTGTAACTTCCTGTTCTCTTTAAAAAGCTCCTTTTTGCCAATTTGTAGTAATCGATATCCTTAACAAATAAACAAATTTTGGAACAGACTTCTGTATCTGCATATGTAAAATAAATGTGTTCCTGGCATACTCTTGGGAAGAATTTAAATTAAAATAATTTCAATTTTGGTATATTTAAGAAATTATAATGAAGGGCCCTAAAATAAAATATTTTATATTCTAATTTAAAGAACACTAGGTAGAGTATTGAAAAAATAGCATAAAATTTTAGCTATGTTTCTGTCAATCATGTATTGCTCTGTTTTAAGTTCCTTCACCTCTATAACTGCCAACAGATATTAAAAGTTTATTTTTACTGTTTATTTTCTTAAATTTCTCTGCAACTATTTTTTTCAATACTGATGGATGATATGAACCCAGGACCTCTTGCTTGCTAGACAAGTGCTCTACTGAACTATACCCTCAGCCTAAGACTTGTGTTTAGTTAAAAATTGAAGGTAACCATTTATATGTAAAAATATTGACATACATTAAAACAAGAAATCTGCATAACCTCCAGTCAATAAGTATTCATTAAAATATTCTTTTAAGACACTCAATAAATATCATTTGTACATTCTAGTCTCTAAATCCCTAAATGTGTCTGCACAAGAGTAGTTCCAAAAACTCACAAGTATTTCAATGGTTATTATGTTGTTGCACAGTTGAGAAAGAAATCTCAACAAATTTATTACTTTCCATATGCATTATTTGAATATAAACAGATAAAAAATTGAGGCAAAACTATGAATTTCTTGACAAGTTCACTGATAGCTGCAGGAAATTATCCTCAACCTATTAGAAATATTCTTTGAATAAACATCTCAATATTATATTTCATATTATCTCTATCCTTTGCCCAATTTATGGTCAAAGCTAGTTGACACTTCAAGAAAAAAAAGTGCTTAATATACAAACAGAGAAAAAGTCTGTGATTTTGCTGTTATCTGTATACATGAAATTAGGATTGATATCTGGTTCCAAATGTCTTTCCTTCTCTTAACTTAATTTTTAAAAATGAACAAACAAACAAAAACCCACACAAAAACCAAACAAAAACCAAGAACACAGAATTCGGAGTAGGCTCCAGAAAATGATATATATTTAAAGCATAGCCCAAAGACTACCAATTTTTCTTACCAGTGCTGTCATCATATACAACTGTGACGGTTTTCCACTTGAAAAACTGCACCAAGTCTAAAATGGCACGGCTGAGCGAAGAGAAGTCTGGGTAGAGGCTGACATAAAAGGAATCTTTGTTGTCTGACACCTGGTGCTTCCAGCGGGTCTGTATGTGGGGAACCCCCAGAGCATTGCAGATGGACTGTACCGCGTTTGCTGATGAGCTGTGTGAAGGCCCGAAGATGGCAGCCACCCCAAGAGACAGTTGATCACAGGCTACAGAGGAGATAGAAGTCTGTTAATAAAGAGAGGAGAGATGCCAGTACATCAGCAGATAACACATTATTATTAAAACCCAAAGGTATCATCCTGAATAAAGATTTTTTCTTTAATATAATATTTACATTTCACTACTTTTGCATTTTATCTGTCTCTGAACATTTTCAGTTTGTTATAAGAGAATTAATTCACTCAAATGCCTGCAGCTTAATGTTCAAGTAAGTCTACAATTTTGGAGAAGGAGAAAGAAAAGGAATATCTACACATTTTAAAATTTTCATGTTCATTTTGGAAGACGAATTTTTGTTAGGAAAGTGAAAAAAATAGTGTTTTTTCCCCAAATTTCCTGGTCATCCTTCATAATTTAAAATTATTAATGAACAGTCAGCCATTTGGTCATTTGCTAGGCCATTTGCTAGGGCAAAATACAATTACAGTATAGTCACAGGTCAACTTATGCATACAATCAGTCATACAAAACCTACTATGACTCTTGGGGATGATTTCATATGAATTTAACTCACTGAGTAGAAGAACGCCAAAATCATTACATAAGTATTCATCTTATATACTTTTTGGATACTAGAATGTCTTTTATACTGTTCTAAATTATTTTTTAAAGTTAGTATTTACTCACAGAAAATTTCATTTTTATGAATAATAATTGTAGTAATTAAAAGGCATAAACAAACTAGAGCATATTCAGTTTAGGACTTAAGTTTTTATAAGGCACACTGAAGCAAATAGTGAGTTTGGGCCCCTAGTGAATAATTACTAGAATCATGAAAATTATCTTCAAATATTTGAAGACCTGGGGGCTGGAGTTGTAGTTCAGTGGTACAGTGCTTGCCTGGTATAGGTGAGGGTTCTATCCTCAGCACCAAATGAAAATAAATAAATCAAGGTATTGTGTCCATCTACAACTAAAAGTATATATATTTAAAAAATTTTTACTAAAAAAAAAAATTAAAAAAAAAAAAACTTGAAGACCCGGACTGTGAAATAAGTTTAAGCTTGTGTCTTTTAACTGGCAAAGGAGAACCTGGGCATTTAAAAGCTTCTCACAAATTAATATATGAAGTGGGAAATGTCCAAACATGGAAAACTTTGTCTAAGAGGAAATGATATGCTCATCATTGTAAACATTTAAACAGGACTGAGGAGTTCTATTGAGATTTAAACTAAAATCAGATGTTCAGACACAATTCTTCCAAAATAGATTGTAATTCTACTGTGTGAACTTTTCTGACATTTTCTTTCAGAATTTTCTACAAAAAATGTAGAATGTGATGAATGAATTCATAATCATCAAGGCATGCAATAATAAAGTCTTAGTTGGAAAAACATTTGCTTGAACTCTCTTCAAAATTCCAATATGATCTAAACACATTGATTTTGAATATATTCTTCCTTTCTACATAATGAATAGAATTCTGAATTCATAGAAAGTCTGGAGCCAACTTGGGATTTCTCAACACGGGATTTTAATTAATGTACATTGAGAACAAACAATCTTTCTTCACCCATTTTTTTAGAAAAATCACAAGCTATGAAAAGCTAAATATTTTATGAGAGTATTTAGTGTATTCATGTGTCTAATATAAAATTTATCAATTGTCAGAGGAGTCATTTAAAAATAATATATGATTCAAATAATGAATCAAGTTCTAATACATAAGTATATTCATTAACTCAGCAAAACAATGTTTCCTAATAGAAATACAGGAGAAAGAAGCCAGTCAAAATGTCAAAATTTAAATCTAATTTCTTATTATTTTCTTGTCTTAAAATTAACTTTTTAAAACATTCAAATTAATTAAACTATTTTATAATCAATCATTAATGTCATTATCAATGTGTATTTTTATTAAGCCCCTAGGAGGTTCAAAAGCTATGATAACTCTTCCCTTATATTATCTTTTTTACCTATGTGTATTTTCTAACCAGCAACAGTTTAACAAACAAGAGCTTCACAAGATAAAGCTCAAACCATGCAGTCACACTTTTAACTTCTAACAAAGAAAGTTACTCACACACTTTTTTTGAGCTTTTCCTGATTTTAGGCCAATGTCAACTGATAGATTTGATTCCCAATGAGTTTTTAAGAATTTTAAATTTATTATAAGGGTTTGGAAAACAAAAGACTTGATCATTTAATATCTTGCTAGGAAATTCCCAGCATAGTATCTTGTTTTCTGTCAGAACATTCTAGCCTATGTTTTTACATTGTTCCTGCAAAGTCATCATTAAGAAATCTATTAATATTTTATTTATACTGCACTCATTCCATGTTCTTTGGTCTGAATGCTTTCATTAGAGGCGAAGCTTCTTCTTCCTAATGAAAATAATCATGAACTATGCCACTAATCAAATGCACTTGTCTTGAAGTTAATGACTTACTTTGCAATTATGATGACAAATGTAGCATTTTGCAGTAAACTTTAACCTTTTTTCAGCTTTCCAAACCTTTCACTACCCTGACATGGTTCTGAAATGTGGAACTTATTTGTATTCATAAAGATATGAATTCAAAGGGCAGGGAGAATATGGCTTTGATAAACAGAAGTTAGCTGCTGGGGGAAAAGAAGACTTTCATCTTGAGCAATGTTGTACCTTATCAGCTGCCATTAATATTAATAAGCTTAGAAGAAATCTGCACCAACTTAGAATTATAAATAATTATGTACATTTCCATTAACAAAAGACAGCTAGTAAAATAATATTAGCATTACAGAAAAGCAAACATTGTTTAAAAGTATGAAGTGAAAACAAATGCTTTGTATGCCTGCTCCTTTGAAAAATCTATGTCATGGAAGTTAATTTCTATTACATGACTGTTAACTATGCATAAGACAAGACCCCAACTATAACATCACCTACATGTTAGAAAAGATTACTTACATGAAATTATGGAAATATCTATCAAATACATTTACAAATAAGACTGTCATTTTGCTAAAATAATACTTTGATAATATTTCCATTATCTTTCTTCACATCTGAATGTTAAATTCATATCCACAAAATGAATGGTTTCCTACTCTTGTTATTTAAAATACTTTTATAAGATAATAAAACATAAAATTCATAAAGTATTCTAATTATTCCATCATATAATTTTTATATCAATTATCATTTAGTTTCAGTTGGAAGAAGAAACATTGAGTGATCAAAAATAAGCACAGAGAATACATAAAGTAATTGTAGTTCAAAATTTTCAAATAAAATTGGACTGATTTTTTGAAGTTACTTGAAACCATAAAACTTTCAAGATAGTCAATAAATTGATACCAAAGTAATAATACAGCAGTATTGACAGGTAATAAAAATGAAAATGTAACAGTGGATTTCAAAACTTCATGAAATACACTGATACATGGTATCTTATTTTAGTGGGTTTTTAAAAATAGATATAACTTACTAAAAAGAAAAGAAGGTCATTTGGGATAAAAACAATTTGACTATCAAAGATTTAATTTCATTGATTTATAAGCAGATTTCTTCTAAAATGTGATTATATCACCTTTCCCTCCCTGATAAAATTTTTGTGCATTTAGAAAAGGAAACTTTATATGCAAATGTTCTTAAAAGCTTATTAACTACATGAGGGGTTTAAAAAAAACTCTTAAGAATACCTGGAAATTTGAATCCCAGAAAACATGATGCTAAATATCAATCAATTACCTTTCTTGGATGCTTCAAAACTGTCATATAGATTGATCTTCTGGGTGTCATAGGTTAGGGTGGTATTGGGCAACAAGGTCCTATTTCTGTTGATTGTGTTCACAGCAAATCTGAACGCGAGTTCCTCAGCTCCCATTGGGCCAGATTCCACATATTCAAAAATACCACCTGGCAAAACAAAAGAGAATAATCACATGGGTCTTAGAATATAGAGAAAATGTCAGAATTTTTCTATATTTTAAGCTTATATCTGTACATCTGAGTGTCTGCATGTGTGTTTGTATGGTTTGCTTAAGTGCACAAGGTTTGTACTTACTTTTTCTGTGAATTGTATAGATAGATATACCCTTTAAAATAAATTCATACTGGCAAAAACTGCCTTGTTTTTCTGACAAAATTCAATACTATTTAAATAGGATATGTCCCTTTGTCTTTGGCAATAACTTATTTTAGAGCTGATAGATATACAAGGTATATCATAGATAGATAGATTTTTTTTCCTTAAATAATGAAAATTAATCCCCAAATTTAGCACTCTGTTCCAGAATTATCAATGCAGTGTGTGTGTGTGTGTGTATGTGTGTGTGTGTGTGTGTGAGTGTGTATGAGATAAAGCTAAACAATGGAAAAATTGAGTTCAAGTCATCTCCATTAATTAAGAAGTCAGAATTCTTTAGTCCAACTTTTATGACATTTATTTTGTTTGATTAAAGCCCAAAACTTTTGCAAATCCCAGCATCTTATCTGACTTATGAGAAAAAGATAATCAAGAAGCATTTCTTTATTCATTTTCTCTAAGTCTCTTTTCAGAGAAGACATGGCATTAATGCAGAATCCTTAATCAACAAAAAGCACTGTAACATAAATTTTGGTCATAAAATGTAATTTTAAAACATGTGCCTTTAACCTGGCACCTTCCCAACTGTGCCTTAGCAAAGTTTCCTCATTCTTGTCCCTGTCTTCTTCCTCTCTGATATTACTCTTCTGCTGGAAGATTCCTGCTACCAAACTTTGCCTTGACAGAATCTCTTTTTTATTGTTGGTATGGTGAATAAGATGAAAAGGGAAATGCCTGATACTTAATTTTTTCCAAATTGTCATTGAAGAATTAGGACTTTAAAATTTCAAAAGTCTTTATCTTTCCCTCTTTTAAATTTCACACCATGTACTCATAGCACAATCATTCACAAACTACATCCCTTTGAATAAGGCAGTTTCACAATTAGAAATCCATGCATTATCAAATGTATTTTCATACAGGAATTCCAGGTGACAACAGTACTGGTAACTATCTATTCAAATTTAACATTCAGATTTAACAAAAAGTCATGGTATCTTTGCAATTCCTCTGAGAGAAATTAGAACTTAAAAGGACCACAGGGATGGGGCTGGGGTTGTGGCTAAGGGGTAGAGTGCTTACCTAGTGTTCGAGGTGCTGGGTTCAAACCTCAGCACCACATAAAAATAAGTAAATAGAATGAAGGTATTATGTCCAACTACAACTAAAAAGTAAATATTAAAAAAAAAGAACCATGGGGATAAAGAAAATTTGTAGTCAGAAAGAATATGATAATTTTTTACTTAGTACCAAATTAGTTTGCAATATTTTTCTTATTTTGGATTTTAACTGAATTGATGGTATAGTTAGTATAGAAACAGACTTATTGTAAGATAGTAACCTGAATATCTTTAAAATTATTGGTGACTTATGCAATGCAGAAGGACTTGAGTATTTACATCTCCAATGGGTAATCAGAACTAAATTATATGCCTTGTATAATGGAAGACAATATAGGTATAGGAATGGGTTTTAGAGGCAGACTGGATTTACATTCTGGGTCTGCCACTTGCCACTGGTGTAAATTTGTACAAATGCTTAAACCTAGTTTGAACTAATTCATCTTTTCTAAAAAGGATGATAAGGGAGTCAACTACACAGAATTGTTGTAAAGATGAAATATTGGCTAATATGAAGTTCTTAGAAGAGTGACTGCCATAGGGCAAGCACTCAGTATGAATGTAAAATTTCATCAAATCTTCAAAGAAATTCCAAGTAGAAGTTTTTTACAAGAACAAAAATATCAGCCAACAAGTGATGGAACCAGGATTGTAATCTGTCCATGTCTCATTCCAAATATTGCCTATTCCACAAGAAACCAGCAGGTTTCTTTAAATATTTATTCAGGAATAATATACAGAATTTATTAAAATGTAAGACACCGTGACTTAAATAATATAATGATATTAGAAATGTAAGATCTTATATATAGAACAGAAAAAAATTGTAAAGTACCTGAATAGTTAATTATGAATAAGAAGTCACCTACACATATCTAAATCTGAAGTAGTTTATTCCTGGAAAAATAAAATTTAAAAACTGAATCTTTTACTAACCTCAGTTCAGAATTGTAATTTCTATTTGATATAAATATAAGATCGAGAATTAGTCAATATTTGATGATAATACGTTGAAACTTGCTTATCTTGTACTTATCTTCAAAATAAATACTGTAGATTCAACATATTCATCACTGCTTTGAATATTTAAATAAATCTTTGAAATTCAGGATAACTAGTTTTCTACCTTAATCAAATAAAATTAATAATTAATTTTTATTAATTCAAAGCAAGAATCTAATACTTTGCCCATAAAACCCCCCAAAAAATCCAGATAATGCAGATTTCATAAGCAAAATATCATATCATCCATAAAACCATCTAACACTATTAAGAGAGAAACTGAATAACTCAGCACCTCTGACATGTGCAGAGCAGGTATTGTAAGAAAGGTTAAAAAAATATTTTATATAAAGGAATTGCTTTCCAGAAAAAAGTAGAAGGGAAGCTACCAACACACAGGGAGAGAAGAAACCTTTTCACATCCTGTTGAAAATTTTGGAAAGTTTTAATAACATCTAACCATTAATTGGGCAAAGAAGAAAAAAGTATAAACACCATACTAGATGTTATAAAGACACTTGAAATATTATCATTAAATATTCTTTCTTTTAAAAAGATTTCTAGGAAAAAAGAGAAACAATGATATTGCATTAAGATAAAAATCACAAATTGATAGTGGCTGTTATATTTAAGAGGAGGATGGAAAAGAAGTTACACTGTCAAACAAAAAAAAAGTCTATAATATCCAGTCTTCATTAATATTTATCTTCTTTTCATTAAACAGAGAAGGAACCAAAATATCTTTTGTTTTTATTTAATTATATAGATTTTTTCCCCACTGTGGATTATTCAAGGTCTTTATTAAGGAAGATTTGTGAGCCAAAATTCCTCCATAGTTTTAAAATCTCAAGTATAATAATAAGGAGAAAATCATTTAATAGTTTTCCATTCTGAAGTGTTTTGCCAGAGAAGGAAAAAGAATGATACCATGCCCTATTTGTAGTCCCAAGAGTTTTGAAAGATATATCAATATCAGAAAAATTAATGGATCACTACTGTCACCTTCTGAAATGTTTGTTTATGTTATGTATTTATTTATGTTTATGTTAAGGCACCCAAGCTGTTCCTTAACCTCCATGGTCCATTGAGAATTGCAGGGTCCTAGGGTCCTGTCTTGTGAAACCTTAATTCCTTTTTCCCTCTTGTGCTGTTAAAAGTAATCAACTGTATGTTTGAAGAAGATACCTAAATATACTATTTCCAGTCTTCTATAAACTACTGTTAAAGAGAAATGAAGATGCATGGATTTAGAACATGAATTTCTTTATGAAGTTTCAGTGAGTGATATGTAAAAATTAAACAGATATGTGCAAAATTAAATATATCATATTTTTAAAAATTATGACCAACTCTTCATAAGAATATAGATGAAAATTCCAAATAAAATATAGCAGCTTGTCTTCTTTTGAGAAATATCCACTCAAGGCCTTTGTCCATTTTTAAAAATCACGTTATTTTTTTCTTGCTGTTGAGTTGTCTGAATTCTATATATATATATTGTTTATATATAAATCTTTTATCAGATGGATAGTTTTCAAATGTTTTCACTCATTCTCTAGGCTATCCATTTACTCTGTTGATTATTTACTACTCTTCATTGCAGAATCCTTCACTTTTATGGAATCCCACTGTCAGTCTTTGCTTTTGTGGCTTGTGTTTTGGGGATCATATAAAAAAACAAATTTTCCAAGATCATGTCATGGATTTTTACCCTGTATTTTCTTTTAGTAGTTTGGCAGTTTCCCGTTTTAGTAAGTCTTTGATTCATTTTGAGTTGGTTTTTGTATGTGACATGAGAGTTCAATTTTATTATTTTGCTTGTAATGTCTAGTTTTTCTAATGTCCAGTTTTCCTGTTGAAGAAATTGCCCTTTATCTGTCGCATGTTTTAAGTATCTTTGCCACAGATGAGTGGCAGAGATTTTTATTATAAATTGATGTTAAATTTTCCAAATACTTTTTCTGTACCCATTAAGAAAGTCACATGGTTTTTTATCCTTCATGCCACTAATATGATATATCTCATTTATGGGCTTATGTATGTTAAATGAGTCTTGGACTTCAGGTAAATCCCATTTCGTCATGGTATCTGCCTCTTTTAATGAGCTGCTAAATTCAGTTCACTAAGATTTTGTTGAGAACTTCTGCATCTATATTCATCAGGAATATTGGACCAAATTTTCTTTTCCTATAGTTTGTCAGGCTGTGGTGCTGGGAAAATGCTGTTCAATTGATAAATCTGGGATTGCACATCCTCTTTTATATTTTGAAAGACATTGAGAAAGACTGGTGTTAATAATTTTTGAAGTTCCTAGTAGTAGAATTCACCAGTGAAGCCATCAGGTCTTGGGATTTTCATGTTGGTAGTTTACCAATGACTTATTTAATTTATTTACTCATAATTGGACTATTCAGATTTTTTTATTTCTTTATAATTCAGACTTAGTTATTTGCATGGTTCTAGGAATCTAGCCATTTCTAGAGGTTATCCATTTTTTTTGTCATATATTGCTTTTAGTAGTCTCAAAGATGATAGTTAAATGGCCAAAAGGTATGTGAAAAAAGTTCAGCATCACCAATCAACAAGAAAATCCATATGAAAACTACAATGAGTTACCAATTCCTACCTATGAGAATGTAGCTATTAGTCAAAATCAAATGATTATGCAGCCATGTCACAAAAAAGGATTACATTTTTAATAAATATTT